TAGTAATACCACCTCGGAAACCCAAGGAGGGGTCGCTAGGAGTTGGATCCGACTCAAAGGCAGTGAGTGCATGTGTGCGTGCGTTACCTAAGTTAGGCACTCTGGTAGCACAGTTGGTAAGGTATTTGGCTGCTAACCAGAAGGTTGGTGGCTCAAACCCACCACTTGCTCCAGGGGAGGAAAATGAGTCAATCTACTTCCATAAAGATTTACAGCCTTGGAAACTCAATGGGGGTTGCTAAGAGTTAGAATCAACTTGATGGCAGTAGGTTTTTGTTTATTTTTTTACCAGGTAAACTAAAAAAAACCAAACTCAATGCCATGGAGTCGGTTCTGACTCATAGGGACACACCCTTGGGTTTCTGAGGCAGTACCTCTACAGAAGTAGATTGCCCAGTCTTCCTTCCAAGGAGTTGCTGGTGGGTTTGAAATGCCAGCCTTCTGGTTAGCAGTCAAATGCCTTAGGCACTATGCCATCAGAGCTTCTGTAGGGGTTCTCATTAGACCCATTTCACAGAACGGCAAACTAAGACTCAGAGAGATCAAGTACTTGTCCAAGGTGAGTCATGGATCTGGAACTTAAATCGAGATCCCTCCAATTATCCATCTGTCCTCCTGGGATGGTAAAGAGCAGAAGGAAAGAATGGTGCTAAGTTAGCCACAGAAATTACTCCATTTTCCACATATGGATAATGAGTTTTTTCCACCCTGAGAGAGTCTCTGAAACAGAGATTTATTTCCAGGATGCCTTTACTACCTACACCACAACCCCCCACCCCCAGATGATGGACAGACGTCAGAAAGAAATAAAAATAAAACAAAAGACAGGAGGAAGCATGGTGTGGGGGCAGAGATGGGAACTGAACCCAGATTCAGCTGAAAGCTAGGTACCTAGTGTTTAAGAGCATAGATTTAGGGTTCCTGGAGAAGCCCAGTTCTATGAGATGTCTGATCTCCACCAAGTTACTTAACTCTTCTGCAAAGTTGTTACACACAGTGTATGCAGTACACATCCTATACTACTGTGCAGAGCACCCTGCCTCTCTGAGCCTTTAATAAAAGAGAGTTTGCTTGTTCCTCATTGTACATCATAATATACATGATGCATGAAGGAATGAAGCTTATCTTGAGAAGAGGTATACCAACCGATCAGTATAATGCCTGATGGATACTAAGCACTCATTCATTGATGGAAGCTTAGAGTTAGTATGAACTTGACTCAGCATCACTGGACCACCTGGATGCCCATGTTCAGAGCCAGTTCTACCACCTCAGAAAGACATTGACATGCTCAGACATGTCCACAAGACAGCAACAACGTCAGGGAAAGGATTGAAAATGTGTCTGATTAAAAAAATGAACATGTTTAACCCTGAGAAGACAAAAAAAAAACTCTCTCCCATCGAGTCAATTCCAACTCATAGCGACCCCTATTCAGTTTCCAAGGCTGTAAATCTTTACAGAAGTATATCACCCCACCTTCTTTCCACAGAGCAGCTTGTGGGTTTGAACAGCTGACCTTCTGGTTAGCAGCCAAATGCCTTATCTACTACACCACCAGATCTCCTTTGAGAAGGTTCAGGGGAAGTGACATCTGAATATCAATAACTACATTAAAGGTAATATTTATTGAGCACTTATTACATGTCAGGTCTTTAATGAGATAGGCAGATTATTCTTTCCCATTTTATAGATGGGAAAATGGAGGCACAAAATCACACAACTTT